AGTCCTGGCAATCTGCCTCCATCAGGGTCCCTGCAGAGACCCTCTGGAACGGGTCTACTCGAGCGCGTAAATCAGAGTTGGCCTCTGAAAGGCAGGAAGGTGCTATCTCTGGGGAGGATTCTCCTCCCAAACAAATGCAACCTAGGACATGGTCCCCTGGCCTGAGATAGGCCAGCACGCAGGGAATCGCCAAGAGGAAGCAGTCACAGAGTGACCAGGCTCGCCTCCAGGGTTGGTTCGCTAGCCACAGGCCAGTAGTGCTGGGCTTCTGAGTAGGGGCCACCCTCCCAGGGCTACCCATCCTGAGGTTGGGACCCAAGGATGCCCCTTTCTTTGCTGGGTCACTGGCTTGAATGGCATGCATGTCTTGGAAATCAATCGAGGGCAGGTCCAAGGGTGCGGTAAGAAGCCAGCCCACAACATGGTTTCACTTGGGAGAGGAATGAGCCGCCCTGAGCCCCTGAGAGAACAAAAGCCCTCGTTCATGTCCTGACAGTAAAGCAGGAAAGGGTCCCACTATTCAAGAGCAGTGGAGGACCTAGGGCGGAGGGGCCAGTGGGGAGGTGGCGCCCATCCTTCAAAGGGAGCTGATCTCTTGGGGCAGGAGCTCCCGGGGCAGTTTTAAAGGGGTGGGAGGGACATCGTGAGAAGCCCAAGGATAGGCAGATGGTTGCAGTCATGATTTTTACCTTTCCCGGTAACCCCTGCCCCCCAGCAAGGATCGAGTGGGAGGGACAGCTTGGTTCGGGGTGCAGGGCAGTCCCCACAGACATCTGAGGCCCCCAGAACTCTTCCTCCCCTGTCGGGGATGAGGTCACCGTCCTGGTTCTCCCGAACAGAACAGGTGGGGTGGGAGGTGGGAAGAGAAGTGGCCCGCCTGACCCAGTGAGTGGCTGCCAGGATTACCACCCAGGCAGCATGTGCCACCTTTGATTAAGCCTCATGTAGAGCAGCAGGTCGCCTGGGAAGCCGGAATCATTGTGGGAGGTGTGGGGGTGTTAGGTCCTGGCTGCCCTGCCACAGATAAAAACCCGGGGGCCAGGGAGTCCGGCCGTCAAGCTGCAGGGGACCTGGAACTTTTCCTGCACCGTCTGGAAAATGCAAGTCATGTTGCCTAGGAAATACCCGCTGCACCAAGTGGCCCGCACGCGGCCGGCGGCGGAGCAGCGGTGGAGGCAGCTGAAGCCAGTTCCAGGAAAACCGGAGCAGGGTGGTAAGAAAAGAAGCGGCCCCACTTCCCAGCCCGCAGGCCGGGTTTCTAGGCGTGGTGGCTGTGCGCCTGCCCAAAGGAAAAGCAACCTTCACGCTGGAGCTGGTGACACGCCGCCGCCGGGCATGGGGCGCGCTGGCCGGTCCCCGCTGTGCCGGCGAGTGAGCGCATAGATCGACGGTTCAGCCTGCGCCGCGACGAGTGAGGATGCCAATTGGTGGGCCAAGTGTCCATAAACAAAAGCTAAGCTATAGACAGCGACAGTGCCTGCCGCCTGCAGACAGCCCCTGCGGGAGGCGACCCTGGCCGACTCTCCCAGGCTGGCTCCGAAGCTAAGAGGAAGCCTCCCTCGGCAGGGCGGTCCCCAGCAGCCCTCTCCTCCCGGTCCATCTGGAGGCAGCCTGGCCAGAGTGGAGTAAGTTCTTCCTCAGCAAGTGGAGGTGAGCCCGTGTGGACTCTACGATGGAAAAAGACAGGAGCCAGGGCTCTGAGCAGTCGGCCCTGGCCACGCTGAGCGACCCGCAGGTGACCCTGCTGGCGGCCCACAAGCGGAGGTCCTCCAGGAGCCCTGGGGCCAGAGGCTCGACCCTTCCAGAAGACTCTTCCCCCTCCAGGAAGGGAGAGCGTTCCCAGAGGGGCTTGACTGGAACCCGGGAAATCCGCCCCAATCAGGTCAGTGCAATAGCAACAGAGCTAAATAAGGAGCCACCTTAGTTAGTAGGGGGCCAGCTGTGTGTGGTGGGTGGGCAGAGAGGGAGCTTAGCCCCCTGGCTGGGGGCCAAGGTGAACATCTCCAGTCGCTGAGCAACCTTTCAGTTTGCTTATTTCCCTGTCTTATGAGCCTCTGTGGAGCCTGCCTTTTCCAAGCGCCAGGAGCCACACAGAAATGGGTCTCCCCTCGCGTGTTTAATGAAAAGTGTGTTCCTGATTTTGTTCATCTCTCCATTTAACATCCAAGCAAAGCTGCTTTTCTTCAAGTACGTTTTTCTGTCCACTCAGAAGGTCAGCCCATGTTCAAAAGCCGGGCAGTATAATGCTTGCTACAAGCGGTGCTTTCCAGAAGCAGTGTCACGGGTCTGGTGGTCAGTTAGATCCACCCAGCCCCCCACTCCCACCGCCCAAGTGTTTTTGAAGGCTTGCTATTCCTTTAATACAAAGGAAAGTTTTCAAAAGTTCTTTGCCTATTTAAAGACGTTATTTCCGCTGATGAAAGCAGCCCCCTGAAATTTACCAAGCTCTCACACGGTTGGAGTCATGTGCCACTTGAGCATTGGGAGTAGACATTCTCTCAAGCGTTTAAAGACTGTGCCTTTAAAAAAATAAATCATTTTATTGGGGGCTCTTACAGCTCTTATAGCAATTCTTAAATCAATTGTATCAAGCACATTTGTACATATGTTGCCATTATCATTTCCCAAACATTTTCTTTCTACTTGAGCCCTTGGTATCAGCTCCTCTTTTTGCCCCTCGTTGCTGTCCGAATTTTACGCTCGGAGGCCTTTAATTTTGAAATACTAAAAAGGTTGTTTGGTGTGCTGAGCTTGTGGAAAATTCCAAAAGACCCATGGAAAAGTTCTTCCCAGTCCATTTTAACAACAGGACGCATATATACTGGCTGTCAGTTTGGGTGGATTTTACTCAGCATGGAGATTAGGGTGTGTTTTTCTTGGGGGTGGGGAGGCTCCTGTGAGGTGGTAGATAAGATCTCCGTGATTTTCAATTCCTTGGCTTTTCAAAGCAGTTGTGTAATTTTTATTTTGTTTCCATTCCAAGTGCTTGAAACCAGCACCTAATGTGAGTGAAGTGTCTTACACATTGAATCTTCAAGTGCAACAAAACATTGAATCTGGCCTTTGGGGGCGTTGCCCATTTTTGCCAGGTCACTGTCCAGGTGATCATTTTAGCTGGGTGTTCAAGATAGCAAAATATGGAGGGGTGATGCTTGAGAGCATTTCTTTAAAATATTCTAACGTTTGCATTACAAATGGGCTGTGAAATAGTCTGATGACTATTTCTGATGGCCAGTGCCAGCCTCTCGTGAGCAGAGAAGACCCAGCGGAAGACCCGTTTCAGCTGTCCTGTAGGCAAAGTTGCAGCTCTATTCTTGAGTTGACTCATGGCAACCCTACAGGACCAGGGCAGGGTTTCCCAGGCCGTTTAAGTCTTCAGGGACGAGTTGAAAGCCTCTTCTTTCTCCCCTTGCCCTTGAGTGGATTGCAATTCATAGCAACCCACAGGCCAGAGTAGAACTCACCCCCACTGGGTTTCCCAAACGGAAGTCTTTACTTTTTACTGAAGTAGCCAGCAGCTGGGTGCTTACACAACTGCGCCGCCCCCAGGGCACCTTCCTGGGTTGGAAGGCTCTCCACGTACACAGAAGACGGATGTAGCCATGAGCTTGGGCTCAAGGATCCCGGAGGAGAGGAAGGAGCCACCTGGAGTCACTCCACTGCAAAGACGTGGCCCTCAGCCCGAGGCAGGACTGGGAAGTCCCTTTTTAATCTCAATTTCCTGTACTGCCAGCTCCTCCCCTCCTGCCTTTCGCAGCCCAGTCCCTCGAGCCTTTTTCCCCTTCTCTGGGAATATACTTCCAGACCTTCTTTCATCAGAATTGTGGACCACGAGTTAGATCCCAGCCAGACAGATTTGCACCCAATGGCTAAAACCCACTGCCACTGACTCACAGCGCTCCTACAGGGCCACGCATGTACACTTGCTCCATCAGCTCCCCTAGGCTGTAACTCATCTTTTCCCCCCAAGAAGCAGCTGGTGAGTTTGAATTGCCCACCTTGTGGTTGGCAGCCCAGTGTGTAACCCACAGCTCCACCAGGCCCCTATGGCTGAGCACAGGGAACCGACTGCCAAGAGAAAGAGCTAGAGAACCCCAGAAAGAGCCCGAGCCAAGGTAGCTATTCTGGGTCTTTGCATCTCAGCCGGTCCTCCACGGCTTTCTGTCAAAGGACCCAAACTCAGGGAAGGACCACCCCTGTGGGTTTCCGAGACTGCATCTCTGTACTTCGTCTTTTTCCTGCAAAGGACCAAGCAAGGACGCGCCAAGCATCAGGTGTTCCTGGAGACGAGGTGGAAGAGACCCTCTTAGAACACCCGGGCCTTCTCACGGTGGGCACCTGACTCTCCTCCCTGCCTCTCCCCTCAGCCTGCCCTGCCGTGTGCCCTGGGTGTCTGAGCCACAGCTTTCCTATAGAAACCCCACCTCTTCTCAAGAAAACCAGCCTTTCGTTAAGCTGGGCAGACAGTGATAGGTTAAGGTCATAGAGACAAACAGCCATAAAGTCGATTTCAATTCATAGTGACCCCGCAGAGTAGAGAGCTCCCCCTGTGGGCTTCTGAGGGTGTGGATGTCTACAGGAGCAGAAATTGTTCATCCGGGTGCCTGATGAGTTCAAACTGCTGACCTTGCAGTTAGCACTCTGCCACCGGGGCTCCTCAGAGCTGAAAAATCACTTCTCTGAGCACTATGAGTTGATACAGTGTATCCTAGGACTGGCTCCCGTCTTTCTCCCTGTGGCTTCACTGTGTGGGGAGGTGAGTGAGGGGAAGCCGGACTCGCTGTCTGACATGCAGTCTGTAGAGTCTCCTTCCTGGTCAGCTCAGGGTGGAGGACATAGAATTCCCACGTCTGTAGGTCTGGCTTCTCGTGCAGCTTCTCGCCTGCTTCCTGTGTGGGTTGTAGTCTTGGGCTCTGGGTCTGTTTAGACATCCATGGTGAGAGGTTTTTGAAACAATCTCTCGTGTTCAGAATCGAAACAGTGATTTCTTTGCCTTGTAGATCTCGTCTCAACCCTCTGTGCCCGCTCGTGCCTGGGAACCGGCCATGAAGCAGGATTTCGCCTATGATAATGCGGGCTACGAAAGCAGTGAGAACAGTGTGGCCACCAGTACGGTCCACATTGTGGGCATGACATGCCAGTCTTGTGTCAAGACCATCGAGAGCATGGTGTCCAGCATGGATGGCATCGTGAGCGTTAAGGTCTCCCTGGAGCAGGGCAACGCCGCCGTGCGGTACATGCCGTCCGCCGTGAGCCTGCAGCAGGTCTGCTACCTCATCGAGGACATAGGCTTCGAAGCCAGTGTCACCGGAGGGAAGGCTGCCCCCAGGCCCTCCCCCGTGGGGGAGGCCCTGGTCAAGCTTCGAGTGGAAGGCATGACCTGCCAGTCCTGCGTCAACTCTATCGAGGGCAAGCTAGGGAAGCTGCAGGGTGTGGTGCGCGCCAAAGTCTCCCTGGGCAACCAGGAGGCCGTCATCGCCTATCAGCCTTACCTTATTCAACCAGAGGACCTCAGGGACCACGTCAGCGACATGGGATTCGAAGCTACCATCAAGCACAAGGCAGCCCCCCTGAGCCTGGGGCCAATCGATATCGGACGCTTGCAAAGCACGAACCCAAAAAGGCTCTCAACTCCTGTTCCTCAGAGTCCCCGTGGTCCTGAGCCCCCGGGGGACCAAGGAAGCCCCGGCGTCACCCTGCAGCTGAGGGTAGAGGGAATGCGGTGTAAGTCTTGTGTCTTCAACATTGAAAACAACATCGGCCGGCTCCCCGGGGTCCACGAGATCCAAGTGTCCTTGGAGCATGGAACAGCTCAAGTACACCTTGAGCCTTCTCTCATCTCCCCTGAGACCCTCCAGGAGGCCATTGAAGCTCTTCCCCCGGGGAACTTCCAAGTTTCTCTTCCTGGGGCCTCAGAAGGGAATGGGACTGAGCGCCGGGCCTCTGGCTGCTCCCAGCGGAGTGAGGAGCCTGGAGCGCACAGCAGGGTGACGCTTGCCATTGCAGGCATGAAGGGCGCATCCTGCGTCCAGTCGATCAAAGGAGTCCTCTCCCAGAGGGAAGGTGTGCGGCGGGTGTCTGTCTCCCTGGCAGAAGGGACCGGCAGCATCCTCTTTCACCCTGCTCTGCTGAACCCAGAAGAGCTCAGAGCTGCTGTCCAAAACATGGGATTCGAGGTGACCATCCTCTCCGGTACGTAGTGGACATGGGGTGCATGGCGTATCCCAGGGTCGTCTCCTGTCCTTCTCCCTATGTCTGGCATCACTGCGTGGGGAGGTGGGTGAGGTGAGCCGTACCTGCTGCCTTACACGGAGATGGTGCTGGCAAAACTCTGTAAACTCCTCCTTCTGCCTCAGCTCGGGATGGACGCCATAGAATTCCCATGTCTGTAGGTTTGGCCTCTCAGGTGGCTCAGGCTGGACAGCCAGATTCCTTGCATTTGGTTTCTTTCCCAAAAGAATTCGCGTCCTGAGTTCGAGAGGGTACAGTTGGCATAGCAGGCCCTTCTCTGGCCCGAGGCTTTGTCATCACGCTCTCTGCAGATTTCTCCATGGAACAAAACAACGCAGTCATCACTACATCAGGACCTTGGGCTCCACTCCTAGGGACTGGCCTCCTTACAGTGGGGATTAAAGGGTTTCATGATCTTCCTGGTGGCTGTAAGGGATGGGGAAGGCAGGGGGAAGAAATGGGCTGGAGAGGCAGGCGTGAGGGCCTCCAGCATATTGGGAGAACCATGGGAGGTAACAAGAGGACCCAGGAAGAGAACATTGAAGCGAGTCTCAGTGGTGCTGGTGTCATGGGACTTAAGAGGGCCTGGGAAGGGCAGGGTCCAGGGAGCAAAGGACAAGTGTCCAGGAGAGCATTTCAGGTGCCACCGAGAGGTCATGGAAGCCACCTCTTGACAATGGCATTTGCAAATCCAGGGAAATTAACACTGTCTACTATCAGGAGCCCTAGTGACACAGTGGGTTACTCTTTGGCTACTCACTGTAAGGTCAGCAGTTCGAAGCTACCAGTTGTTCTACAGGAAAAAAAGACGAAGCTTTTAGTTCACGGTCTCAGAAACACATTGTAGGGTCGTGTTGGAAAGCAAGGATACTGCTTTCAGGACTAAGGTGTGCTTGACCCAAGCCATGGTATATTGAATTGCCTCCTATGCATGGGAAGTTGGACATTGAATAAGGAAGACTGAAGGAAACCTGATGCATTTGAAAGATGGTGCAGGCACAGACTCTTGAAAGTATCGCAGACCGCCCGAAGAACACACCCGTCTGTCTTGGAAGAAGTACAGCCAGAGTGCTCCATGGAGGCAAGGATGGTGAGATTTTGTCCATGTACTTTGGGCACGTTGTCAGGAGAAACCAGTCGCTGGAGAAGGACATCATGCGTGGTAAAGTAAAGGGGCAGCAAACAAAGAGGAAGTCTCTAGACAAAATAGAAACAGTGGCTATAACCATGGGCTCTGGCATAAGAACAATGGTGAGCATGGCCCAGGCCCAGGCAGTGTTTCATTCTGTTGTCTACAGGGTCGCTGTGGGTGCGAATCTGTGGTTGGAGGTGGGGTGGCCAGCTCCCCCCCACTAACCACGGGTTTGGTTAGCACAATTGTACAGCGATAATAAGTAAAGATTATAGTAAAGTTACAGAGAGCATGAGAGATAGAGAAGAGAGTCAAATAATGGAGTCCGACACATTTCATGGCAGCATGCTCACCTCAGTCCCGCTCGGTGGTCCA